TTCTTGAAGAATATTACAGTTTTTCTTCAGAGAAATGGTTATCCACAGGACTCTTGACTTTTACATTTATGCTTTTTGTCATGAGTAGCTTATGAAATATTACATAATTCATTTAAAATATATCAAGAATCAGGGAAAAGCACTTCTAGCAACATTACAAATAAAATTCAACAGAGTAAGTGGTGTTTTATCAGTCAATCTTAACCAAGGACAATAATTTTCCAACACTTGGGAAAATTATGAACTCAAGATTTAGGCTTGTAGAAGAGTTTACACATCTGTATGTCATTTAATTGACCAATTTCAGTGATTTTAAAACATCTGTGCTGATGCTACTGCATTTATAATTGTATGTCTACATAATCCAGTGTTTTGGTTAGGAGACTCTTTTAGGGATTCCGAGAATTAGGAAAACCTAGGTATGGGTTACACTTCAAAAACGTGTAGCTTTGTAGCTACAGGTTAAGTCATTTAAACTTTCTGAGTCTTCTTTGCTTCATCTGTGCTGTAGAGAAATAATAATATTCACCTTTTTCCTTCATGGACGTGACACATCGAGCGGAGGCATGGACCTCATAGCAGTACAACCTGCGTTCAAATCCAGACTTTCCCCTCTGCACCAAGGCCATGCAAGGCCTTGGATATGCCCCTAAACCCTCTGAAGTCTCATTTTCCTCATCTGTAAATTTAGAATAATACTCACCTAGTAAGATATGAGGATTACAGAAAATGTATGTAAACATATGGCACTTATTAAGCTCTCCATAAATGGTAGCTATTAATGCTTATGGACATATTTGGTAAACTACATTTTATATGTATGGTATTATTAACCTGTTTCCTTAGATATATAATTTCCTAGTGACAGACTAAACACATTTCTGCCAAATAGTAGTCTATATATATGAATATATTTTCCCTTAAGTTTTAAAATCTTGCTGTGATAGTCTTTTTGTGAAATTTGTTATGAGACCATGATATTAGCAAAACTCGAAACAATGAGATCTTTTTCTTTCTTCCTCCTTTGCTGTATTTCAGTCTATAGTCTTCAGTGAATTTTCAATCCATCCATCCATCCATTCATTCATTCATTCATGCATGCATTCATTCAACAAACACCTACTGAAGGCTTACTATGTTACAGGATCTATGCTAAGGGTTATATTTCAGGAAGAATTAGCCTATATATTTTACTACAGGTGATTTCATTAAATATGATGTTATTATGATAAATTATTTCAGTAGTATAGAAAAGTTGGCGTAATAGTTTATGTAAATTGTAAAGGGAATTAAGAATATATTTTGACAATATGTTACATATTCTTCAGAAAATCATTATATGCAATCTCTTTTCACAAAGGTTACTATATAAATTAAATACATCAAAAGCGTTGGCCAGGGGCGGTGGCTCATGCCTGTAATCCCAATCTCAGAACTTTGGGAGGCCAAGGCAGGTGAATCACTTGAGCTCAGGAATTCAAGATTAGCCTGGTCAACATGACGAAACCCTGTCTCTACAAAAAATACAAAAATTAGCCGGGTCCAGTGGTGTGTGTCTGTAGACCCAGCTACTTAGGAGGCTGAGGCAGAAAAATCATTTGAACCTGGGAGGTGGTGGTGGCAGTGAGCCAAGATCATGCTATTGCACTCCAGCCTGGGTGACAGGAGTAAAATCTTGTCTCATGAAAAAAAAAAAAAAGTATGAGGGTAAACCAAAGAAAGGAATTTAAAAATGGAAACAATTTTAAAAATAATCATAGTTGTAACTCAGTATTAAACTGTCTTTTGGAGAAGATTCTAAAGGGTTTTATATCTAGAATAACTTGAAAATGGACCACAATTGGAGACAATTGAGAAATCATTCTTTTGTTTTTACTTTATTATCCTTAACAGTCATAAGCCATAGTCTATTTCTACCAATGGAAGCCATCAGAACTTCACAAGAACTGTATGTATAAATTTCTATGATATTCTAAATCTTTTACTTTAATAATACTACATCATTATAAATACAATCATTTTTAACAGTAATTGAGTGCCTCCAATGTGCAGCAATTGCAAATTGAAAAACAAAACTACAAGATGAGCACAGCAGGGATCAGTAAACTATTGCCAGTGGACCAAATGTGGCCCACCAGCTGTTTTTGTAAATAAAGTTTTATTAGAACACAGCCTGATCCATTTGTTTACATGTAATCTATGGCCGTTTCTTGATATATTATCAGAGTTGAGTAGTTGTGGTAGAGATGCTATGGCCTGCAAAGAGTAAAATATTTATGACCTAGTTCTTTATGGAAAAGATTTGCCAACCCCTCCTTTATAATAAAGGTATTAAATGATATTTATACCAATTTTGAGTATCCACATAAATTAAGAAGGAATTAAAGGAGAGCCTGCCTTACATTCACCTCCTTTTAGGCGTATGCCTGATGCTCCACGGACAGACAAGAAGTAGGATAAATGCTATACTTTTGAAGACAAATTCTCTACAAGCAGTTCTCTCTGGACTATGGGAGCACGACTATTCCCCACTGAGATAACAAAAATTCCCATTGTTAAGCCACCAAACAAATGCCTACCAGAGTTGTATAATTTTCCTTCCTTTTAGGAGCTGGCAATTTTAGCGTATGACTCATTTTTTGTTGTTGAAAATATTGTGATTCTTAATATATGAATAAGCATCACAACTAATTTAAAATAGCTATTATTGTTACAATTAAAAGAGAAGAAAACGCACATGTGTTACCTGTGTGTTGTTCTTCAATCCAGACTTGCAAATACATGAAGAGGAGTAGCCCAGCTACTCCAAATATCAGCACAGAGAGGAAGACTTGTTTGGGGTTCATGACCATTTCAAATGGCTGCATTTCTCCTCATTTCAGAATCTGAAGACCACAAAATTTGTTTTCCTGTAAAACTTCAGTCTTTTCTTGTTCTCTAAGGGCCCATTCCATAAAGTAACCTAGAATTTTAAAAAGAAATCTACATTGTACATGTCTGCTAACATTAATTCTCAAATATGGTACAAATATGCACTATCTCAACAACGCTGAAGACAAAATGTGCACACCAATGCTCTGAAGACAGAAAAGACTCTAGAAGGTGTTCTTAGAATGGCAATTTTCTATTGCATACTTTTATGTTATCTAAGGAATGTATTATCCTACAGTTTATAAGTAACATCCTAACATTTAGTTAGGCAAAGTCTGGCCAGACTTCAGTCCTCCTATATTGTTAAGTGTAAAGTAAGGTTTGGGATAACTTAAAATAATTGCGAGTAGGAAGAATAACAGAATGGGTTGTTAAAGGACGGATTTTGAAAAACATGTTTGTAGAACGTAAGGAAAAATCACCTCCTGTGTTAAGAATATATAAAGTTCAAAAATGGAAGGTGTACTCTATCATTTTTCTCTCATATAAAGTAACAGATTTCTCCAATTTAAAGGGCACATTTAAAATACTTCAGAAGAATAAAAAGAAAAATATTAAAAGGTCAGGGTTCAAGGACCCCTCCCACAATAACATGAAATCACTGAAATCTACCTCAGATTACAGAAATCTACCTCAGTAATAAAGAGCTATTTTATTTTTTAAAAATACTGAAAAGACTTTCTTTTAGAACAATCTCGTTTAATCTTAACTTTTTATTTAAAAAAAAATCACATCCATTTTTGAGAATCTGATGAAAATGTGAGTCCTCTCTTTAGAAAAGTATAATCACATACAAAATCTTGCATAAAACGGCAAAGTGTTCATGTACCTTCACTGAAACCCACATTAAGAATCCCCCTTCCCCAGTGAGAACACATGGATGCAGGGAGGGGAACATCACACACCAGGGCCTGTCAGGGGATGGGGGCAAGAGGAGGGAGAGCATTTGGACAAATCCCCAATGCATGCGGTGCTTAAATCCTAGATGATGGGTTGATAGATGCAGCAAACCACCATGGCACAGGTATACCGATGTAACAACCTGCATGTTCTGCACATGTATCCCGGAACTTAAAGTAAAATAAAATAAAAATAAACATAGAAAAAACAAACAAACAAAAAGACTCCCTGTTCCCAATGAACTGCCACGCAAGTATGCAGTAACCTGCCTGGTGAGCTCACCTGGTGAGCAGCCCTGCTAATGGGACCAAGGTCATGGCTTTGTATCTAATGCTGGCCAGAAACCCTGGCTCTGTTCCTTGGCCACAGAACACAACCCCTCTGGGTGAGCTGAATAAATGTTTCTTCAGTGTGAAGATACCATGCACATTGCTGCATCAAAAAGTTATCTCTTCTATTCCATTGCCTCAAAATCTTTGAGGAGAGTCTTTGAGGGAAAATACTGATTTTGACTGTTTAGGAGGTGTTTTATGGGGTGCCAGTTAAAAGTTAAAAACTGCTGTGGGAAATTGCTTGTCTGGTTAAAGGATAATATTTAGGTATTCTTGGCAAAACCAATTTTCAGGGCTGGTGAGGTGACTCATGCCTGTAATCCTAACACTTTGGAAGGCTGAGGCAGGAGGACTGCTTGACCTCAAGAGTTCAAGACCAGCCTGGGCAGCATGGTGAAACCCTGTCTCTGCAAAAAATAAAGTAGATTTTAAAATTAGCCCAGCATGGTGCCATGTGCCTATAGTCCCAGCTACTGGAGAGCCTCAGGTGGGAGGATCACTTGAGCCCAGGATGGTGGAGGCTGCAGTGAACCATGATCAGGCCACTGCACTTCAGCCTAGGCAACAGAGCGAGACTCTGTCTCAAATAAAAAATAAACAAACAAACAAACCAAAAACCAAACTATAGCTGATATCCATGATACCACATTTAACTTTGTGGTGATAGAATTCCTTATCTCTTAAAGGAGCTCAAAAAGTGGCCTCAGAAATCAAAACATGAGATGACTCAATGGGAGCCCTCCTGTCACCCCTGAGTTTCTATAGTCCTTGGGGCTGGCATTTCCCTTGAGCCTGAAAGGCTGTGGTTGCAGTGAGCTGTGACTGTGCCACTACACTCCACCCTGGGCAACACAGCAAGATCCTGTCTCAAAAAAAAAAAAATACAAAATAAAAAACCAATTCTCACACAAATGGGCTTCAAAGACAATATAAGAAGTCAGAACTGGAAGTGAATATACTAAGTAATTAGAATGATTTCTTGATTAGGAAAAAAAACCCACCAAACAGTTAAAAGTTTTTATGCAGAATGAAAAAAATGTCATGTCGTGAATACTTCTCTTCTGTTTTTTGTTTTTGTTTTTTTTGTTTTTGAGATGGAGTCTCACTCTGTCACCCAGGCTGGAGTGCAGTGATGCAATCTTGGCTCACCGCAACCTCCACCTCCCAGGTTCAAGCAATTTTCCTGCCTCAGCCTCCCGAGTAGCTGGGACTACAGCTGTAAGCCATGCCCAGCTAATTTTTGTATTTTCAGTAGAGACTCAATTTCACCATGTTGGCCAGGCTGGTCTTGAACTCCTGACCTCAGGCAATCCGCCCGTCTCAGCCTCCCAAAGTGCTGGGATTACAGGCATGAGCCACTGCCCCTGGTCTGAATACTTATTTTCTTTATATTTTAGCTCTGACCTGGAAGGGGCCAGGGTAAGAGCTATTTGTCAGCGCTACCTAAGATGCTTTCTCAAATCCAATTCTCTGAGTTCTCTGAGGAAGGGGCAACTGTTTAACACTTCACTAGTGCTTTTGAGGATTTCAGGCATTTCCTTGATTCAAATAGTAAAGAAAGTTTTTAAATAAGTAGAAGAGCAGAGAGTATTATCATACTGCTTATTTAATGGGTGATACTTTCCTCTTATATTGAATCTAAACTAAAATATTACGGGTTTCCAAACATATGTAACAAAGAACAGTTCCTAAGGGAGATCTGCAATTTGAGGTGTTCCAAATTGAATCCCTCAAGGGAAGCTATGAAATGAAGCCAGCTTTCTCTTCTCTTGATGCTGCCATTAAAAAATGAACAGACATAATTCCTGGGTACATAAGAAGATTCAGATAGGAGGAAACCAGTTAAACAAAATCTAGTACTAACAAAGAAATAGTTGTTTACAAGAAGAAAGAGACTTTTACAATCTGTCTACATAATTAAAACTTATCTCAGAAGAGAAAAGGCTAGAAGAAAACTCGTAAATCAAAGCAGAGCCATGAACCTGTGGGAATGGTGGGTGTAAGAGACAAAAGGAGTACTCCTTGGGGGTTTGCAGAAGAAAATTATTACCTATGACGCTAAAAAAAGATTAAGAATTTGCCCTTCCTTTCTTCAGGAGATGTTGCTATCCTCTGACATATCCTCCTGGGTGAGAAAGCAGTAGAAAACCCATAATTGTTATTATGGCAGATGTGAGTAGGATTGAGTGATTAAAGCCACAAGGCGGAAAGACAATCTGGTGTAAAATGGAGAGATATGTTTGATTTTCTCCCATCTCAGTCCATTAACCCAACGTTGGCGTTAGGAAATGGCTCTCATTAAACAAAGGTGAGGTAGTAGGAGCAGCAGGATTGCTTCAAGCAAACCTGAAGGTCAGCTGTGATGGGAAAACACACCTATTTGGAAATCATATATCTATCTCCAAGCCTGCGGAAAAAGTGCAGACTACTGGAGATTGAAATTACTTGGAATAATGCTGCTTTATGTATGAGCATTATACATTTCCACAGCCAAAGGCTTCCTGTATTTTGTACAACTCCTTCTTCTCCCTTCCCATAAACACAATATCTTGAGCCTAAAAGGTACTTAACAACTTGTTGCATTGAATGGAATTTGGAGCTCCAATAACAAAATACAGGTAATTGATACTTTCTATAGGTGTATTTGTAAATCCTTAGTCCTAACCTCCAAATGAAGAAATACGAAGAAATACTAAAAGATAGGGTCTATGTTTCTTTGTTTAAAATATTTTCATTTACATATCTTTTTGTTTATTTCTAACAATTATGAAAAGAAATATAATCATTTCATTCTGTCATCTCTATTCCAAAAGTTTAAAAATTATTTTTTTAAAGAATTGTGGCTACAAACGGAAGTAATTTGGGACTTAAGTATAGCAATAAATTACTTGCTGAAGGCAATTCACATAAAGGAATTCATGAGTTTCCCAGTTTAGCAGACATTTATGATTTTAGGGAAGGAGTGGTGGGTTTGAGGGAAGATCGGTTTGGACCAAATGATGCAGGCAATTTAGCAGAAAAGAAACCAGGAGTCGGGGGCTTGTTGTTCCCAGATGAGTGTTCGTAGCCCACTCCTTCTCCCACTTCCATAGCAGCTGCACCATCCTCTATCTCCTTCCCACTCTCGGAGTAAACAGAGACCAGCAGGGATGAACTCCCTCCGTTTACTACCATCCCTAACAAGTTTACCTTCATCAGTCCACACCCACACATCTTTGCCTCTGTCTCTGAAAAGCTAGAGTCCTCACTTTTGCCACTATCTTTTCCAGGTTCCGGTGAAACGCAACTCCATCAACACCTCCCCAGTCCGATCTTATCCTCAACCTCTTTCCCCAGTGACTCCTTCCTCTGTAAACTCCTCCAGCGATCACCTATGTAGGTGTGTATTTACCTGGACACTGTTCTGTTCTATTGATTCAATACTATACTATTTCTTTCTTTTTTTTTTTTCCAACTTATTTTAAGTTCAGGGGTATAAATCCAGGTTTGTTAAATAAGCAAATTCAGGTAACAGGGGTTTGTCATACAGATTATTTTGTCACCCAGGTATTAAGCCTAGTACTCATTAGTTATTTTTCCTGACCCTCTTTATCCTCCCAAACTCCAACCTCCAATAGGCTCCAGTGTCTGCTGGTCCCCTCTGTGTCCACATGTTCTCATCACCGAGCACCTACTTATAACTGAGAACATGCGGTATTTGGTTTTCTGTTCCTGGGTTAGTTTGCTAAGGATAATGGCCTCTAGCTCCATCCACGTTTCCACAAAGGATATGATCTCATTATTTTTTATGGTTGCATAGTATTCCATGGTATAGACGTACCACATTTTCTTTATCCAGTGTATCACTGATGGGCATTTAGGTCAATTCCATGTCTTTGCTATTGTGAATAGTGTTGCAATGAACAAACATGTGCTTGTCTTTATGA